CTCAGCCAACAGTCTCTCACAGTCTCTTTCCCAGCAGTGCTGGTCCCTCGGTGTCTCACTCAGCAATGCATGTCTCTTGCATCTCTTTCCAGCAATGTGTGTCTCAGGAGTGCTTGTCTCTTTCAGCAGCACATCTTCCTCAACCAGCAGTCAGAGAGAGTTCTTCCTCTAGGAGGCCTCCTTTTGAGCCTGGCAGAGTGGCCAAACTAGCCAATCATAGCGTCAGAACTCTAAGAACCTGAGAGAGAGCCTCCCATAATATTGCGATGTGCCACGCCCAACGGAAATAACCCAGGTGGATAACATTTACAATCAAGAGCTCCTCAGTTGCTTATTCCACCACTGAGTTTACAATGACTTATGGGTAGAAAAGCCATACTAAGTAGTTTACTACATTGCAGTCATCATGTGTGTTAATGGTCAGTTGTGGTTGGCTCTCTGTCCAAAGGACTCCCTTTAGCATCTCTTGTAAGGTTGGTCTGGTTTTAAAAAAATACCCTTAATTTCTGCTTATCTGGAAATGTCCTAATTTCACCATCATGTTTGAGGGACAGTTTTGCTGGGTACATAATTCTTGGTTGGAAATTTTTCTCTTTCAGGGTTTTATATGTACCATCACATTGTCTTCTCATCTGCATGGTTTCTGCTGAGAAATCCAAGCTTATTCTTAGTGGTTGCCCCTTGAGGTAACTTTTTATTTTTCCCGTGCTACTGTCAGGATTCTTTCCTTGTCTTTGGTTTTGGTGAGTTTGATGATGATATGTCTTGGTGGTTTTCTTTTGGGATCTATCCTGTTTGGGGTTCATTGGACTTCCTGAATGCATATATTCTTATCTTTCACTGTTGTTTGTGTTGTTGTTTGCCGTCGAGTTGGCCCCGACTCATAGTGACCCCTCCTTGGGTTTCCGAGGCAGTATCACTACGGAAGTAGGATTGCCCAACCTTCCTTCTGAAGAGTGGCTGGTGGGTTTGAACCGCCAGCCTTCTGGTGAGCAGTCAAGTGCTTTAGGCACTATGCTACCAGAGCTCCTTATCTTTCACTATACCAGGAAAATTCTCTTCCAACAAATCTTCGACAATTTTCTCTGTGGTTTTATTTGTGTCTTCCTGTTCTGGAATTCTGATGACACGTAGGTTATTCCTTTTGTTGGTATCCTGCATGAACCTTAGGCTTTCTTCATTTTTTTAATCTTTTTTCTGATTGTTCCCTTTCCAAAGAAGTATTGAGATATTTGCCTTCAATCTCACTAATTCTGTCTCCCATTGATTCAGTTCTACTCCTTTGCCCATTTAATGTGTTACCTATTTCTGAAAATTTAGTATTAATCTTCTGGATTTGTGTGTGTAGATTTTGTATCATTTCTAATTTTTCATTTATTTTGTCATTTTGTTCTTGTATTGTCTTTGGACATTGTTCTAGGGTCTTCTCTGTGTTTTCCTGTTTTGTCCGTGTTTTCCTTGCTCTGTCTCTCAGTTCATTGAAGATACCTAGATATAATTGTTCTAATTCCTTATCAGGGAGTTCCAATGCTGTGTCTTCATCAGGGATGTGTTTTGAGTCTATATCCTGGTCCCTTGTTTCTCCTGGTTTATCTTACTTCTTTGTGTGGACTGTGATGCTCTGTTGTCTCCGAGGCATTGTGACGTTTTTGTGTTTATATTTAATTGGTGATTGTACGTTGGTGTGACTTGCCCATGATTTTCATTTTCTTTGTTTTGTTTGTATGTTATCTATGTAAGCAGGGTACTGTGCTGTGCTCTTCTATTTGCTAGTTGGCAGCACTTATACACACACCACCTGTCTCTTTTCCTGTTGTCAGCCTCCTATATGTCCCTGCCGTCCTTGGAAAACAGAGACTATTCTTAGGTCCCTGGAATCTGAATGAGAACGCTTTCACTTTAAAATAAAAAATGGCCACCACTTGTAAAGATTCAAAATGGCTGCACCCTCCAGATAGCTGAAAGTCCACAGCTCAGGTTGTCTCCCTTCTTGCTGCTTCCCTTCCTAGTCATAGGCCACCAGTGCAGTCATCCCTCCAGCCCTTCGCAACCAGGGCTGATTTTTTAGGTCAAATCTCAGGTCTCAACACCACTTGGGAAATATTCAGGCTGTTGGTCTCATCGAAGTAGCTGACAGTCTACTGCTCTGACCATCTCTGTACTCACCGTTTTTGTTCAGGTGTTTCCACTAGTTGGTGCCTGATCCACTTCTATATCCTTTCTTTCAAAGCTCAGGGCTCCAGGATTATCTTCTGTTTCTCTGTCAATTGGTTTCTCTTTTCTTTGTTGAAGAGGGTCTATGTAGCTTTTATGCCTATTCTGCCATCTTCCTGGAAGTCAAATTTTGTTAATTTTTAATCAGAATTTTAAGTTGACTCAATTGTTAAATCATCTTTTTCTCTCTTTTTAGGAATTGCTTCATGTTTGGCTGTTTTCTCAGCACTGATGAAATTGCATTTTCTGACCCAACCCCAGATGGCAAATTATTTGCAACCAAGTACTGCAACACTCCTAATTTCCTTGTGTACAATTTTAGTAGTTAAAGCCAATTTTCACTATAAAACAGTTACTGTGTGGATAAATACAGATAGTCCTTTATCACATAAGAACTATTTACACAATATTAAAACAAAAAGATAATAAGACACACCTCCCTTCCCTACAATTTCTTCTTTATAAGTTGAAAAGTCACAGACTATTTTTCAAAAATTATCTGAAAGAAAGGAAAATTATCTGAAAGAAAGGAAAATCTTTGGGGGCTACATGCTAACTAAAACCTGAATTATGAACCTCTGTAGGTATAATTGTGGAAAATTGCCTGCTGACAGAACAATGTGGTTTTCTACAGAAATATGACCACTTGTTTTTATAAAGCACATTTTTGGACCAGGAATATCTCATGCCCCATCACAACAAGCCACTAGACAAATTTAAACCCAGACATAATTTTCATGCCAAACTTTTAAAAGTAATTCCTAAATGCTGTACACAGAGTTCTCACTTTATAGACACTTGGCTGTACAAACTCAATTTGAATATATTTAGAAAGTATTTTGAATTTCTAATTTGTAACAAGAAAAGATAAGAAAATGAGTTAAGATATCCATACTCTTTTATGTAGAACAGAATTTTATGGCTTAATGTTTGAATCTTAAAACTCAAATTAATCAAATGTACACCTGTCATCAGATTTAATTAACATTGCATTTAGTAATTGCACTGTTGTCATGTCATTAAATTTTGTTATGTGAAAATGTAGTTGAGCTACTTTAGTGAACTTGTTACTAGTAATGTCATTGACAAAATGGATGCTCAGTGGATGCCCAGTGGATTAGATGATTCATTTGGTTTCATTTTAATTTTTTGTTTGTTTAAAATACACCTTACTTGTTTTCAGACCTGGCAAATGTCATGAGAAAATGTATAGTTAACAGAACCAAGATTAGTAAATATATCTACCCCAGTGGAACAGAGAGTATGATGACATTATGTAAATAAATCTAAATATGCACATATTTTCCTAGTATAATTCTTAGATACTTACTTTGAAAAGAGAAGAATTATTAAGATTGTTTTGATTCTAAAATAATCATTTAACTGCTACCTGGTAATAAGATTCTAAATAAACAGTTCAATTCTGTTTTGAAGGTTGTAACTCTAGAAATCTATTAATCTGAAGACTTTGTTTCCTTTTAAGTTGACATGGTTTCAAAATGTAAATGACCGGGTTCCAAAAAGCATATGGGAATATTAAAATGTGTGTTCTTGTGTACACATTTTAACAGTATACTCTGCACTGCTGTTTTTTACAATATTGTTTAAAATATTTAAAAAATTTTATCATTATTTTGTTCAGTACCTTTCTGATTAAACAACTAAAGTTTTTTCAATATTCTGACTATTCTCATACAGAATGCTCCTTTTTTTTTCAATTTTTATTGTGATTTGGGTGAAAGTTTACAGAGCAAATTCATTTTCCATACAGCAGTTCATACACATTTTGTTTCATGTCATTGACTGCAGTTCCCCACAATGCAACAGCTCTCTCTCCCACCGCCTCCCCATAGCTACCTCTTCCCTGTGTCCTTCCCTGCCATGCACTCCATTCCCCACCAGCACCAACCCCCCCAGCTAGCTCTCTGTGCAAACACTGCCCTTCTGTTCTCCCATGATTGATTGATTGCTTCAGGGAGTGTATCGACCTGATGTAAATGTTCACCCCACATGCCTGTCTGTTTGGCTGGAAGCCACAGAAGTTAGTTCAATTCCAGACCTGAAGTATAACTAGGGCCCATAGTCTCAGGGATCTCACCAGGTGCTATCAGAGCAGCAAACCTTTTAGTTTTTGTAATTATTATAATGGTACATGTTCTTTGTAATACATTCAGATATTACAGAAATAGAGAATGCCCAAAGAGGAAGCTTTCCCATAATCTTACCTTTGGGTGCAGTGATTATTACTTTAGTTTAATTAAACACACAGTGATTTTCTATCTTACTTCAGTATGTAATAGACCTTTCATATTTCAAATAACTTATTTTTTAAAACACTGTTGTTGCTAGGTGCTATTGAGTTTCAACTCATGGCGACATACAGCAGAATGTAACACTGCCTGATCCTGCACCATCCTTGCTATCCTTGCTTGCCATGTTTGAAATCATTGTTGCAGTCACTATCAGTTCATGTTGTTCAGGCTCTCCTTTTTTGCTGACCCTCTGCTTTACCAAGGATGATGTATTTCTCCAGAGACTGGTCCCTCCTGATAAAATGTCCAGAATACATGAGGCAAAGTCACACCATTCTCACTTCTAAGGAACATCCTGGCTGTACTTTCAAGAGAGATATGTTCATTCTTCTGGCAGTCGATGGTATATTCAATATTCTTCACCAATACCAAATTCATAATTTGGTCTTATTCATTGTCCAGCTCTCATATGTATATGTAGCGATTGAAAATACCATGGCTTGGGTCAAGTGCACTGTACTCCTCAAAGTAGTATCTTTGCTTTTTAACACTTTAAAGAGGTCTTTTTGAGAAGATTTGCCTTGGGCAGTTCCTGATTTGATTTCCTGACTGACGCTTTGATTGATTGTGGATACAAGTAAAATTCAATCCATCACAACTTCAGTCTTTTCTTCATTTATCATGATGTTATTTATGGGTTTAGTTGTGAGAATGTTTTCTTTATGCTGAGATGTAATCCATACTGAGGGCTGTAGTCTTTGTTCTTCATCAGTAAGTGCTTCAAGTCTTCTTCACTGTCATCAAGCCAGGTGTGCCATCTGGAATATCTCAAGTTTTTAATGAGTCTTCCTCTAATCCTGATGCTTTCTTTTTATAATTCAACTTCTCAGATTATTTGCCCAGAATACAGATTAAATAAGAATGGTGAAAGGTTGCAACCCTGATGCACACCTTTTCTGATTTTAAACCATGCAGTATCCCCTTGTTCTGTTCAAGCAACTACCTCTTGCTCTATGTGCAGGTTCTGCATGGGTATAAATAAGTGTTCTGGACCTCCCATCTTTGCAATGTTATTCATAACTTGTTATGATCCACACAGTTAAATGCCTTTATGTAGTAATTCTCTGATGGGAATATATAGATTAGGGTCTCAGTGGCTTCACAATAACACTTGGAGTTTCTAAACTGTCCCTTAAAGTTGTAAGGACTCCATAGGACTTTCTCAGAGGCCTCCATAAAAGGAGGGACACCAAGTACATTAGGCCGGAGAAGGACCCATCTAGACTTCTTCCACCAGAGCATAAAAATTAAAAAATAAAAACAAAACCCACTCACTATCCATCAGAAGACATTCACTGTGAAGGGTAACTTCAAAATCCTATTAGTAACATATGTCCACATAAAAACTTAAAGAAATGTTGATACCACCATTGTTCATAATAGCCAAAAAGAAGAAAGAGCCCAAATGTCTTATCAATGCCTTTCACTTAGCAGCTGAGTGCATTAACAGTTTGCACCACCCAGGAACTCCGGAGATTGGGGAGACGGCAGTGAACAAAATAAAGTCCCTGCCCTCATGGAACTTACATTCTACAAAAACCAAACCCACTGCCATCAAGTCGATTCTGACTCAGAGCGACCCCCATTGGGTTTCCAAGGTGGCAAATCTTTACTCAAGTAGATTGCCCAGTTTTCCAATGAGTGGCTGGTGGGTTTCAACTGCTAACTTTCTGGTTGCAGTCAAATGCCTTAGGCACTGCACTACCAGAGGTCCTTATATTCTATACGAGAGATAAAAATAAGTAATTTCCTTGCTAAATGAACATAGAGATGCTTCCGTTGTTTCAGCAAGTCTATTATAGATTAAAATTGCCTCCCAAAAATATGTTGGAATCCTGAGTCGAGAAGTTCTGGTAAGATGGTGGGACAGGGAGACAAACTACACAGACCCTCTTCAACAAAGAAAAGAGGAACCAATTAACACAGATACAGAAGATAATCCTGGAGCCGTGAGCTTTGAAAGAAGAAGGGGACTAAACTCCAATTAGTAGAAGAACCTTCACAAAAACAGCAAAAGAGACAGAGCTGCTGTCAGCGATCCCAACGGCACAGACAGCTTGGCTATCACCAAGTGGTGTAGGACTTAAGAATTAACCTAAATATTAGGCCTGCTAGCCAGGGGCTGCACGGGTGACTGCTGAATAAAAGGGGAAACAGTGAAGGAGACAAACAGCTGTGGACTTTTGGCTGTCCAGAGGGTGCAGCCATTTTGAATGTTTAGGTAAGTAAAGGACATACCAGACACTGAAGACTGGAAAGCTGCAATATTCCCTTTGTACCCCACTCTTATACCCCACACCCTCTTGGTGAATGGAGGTGCGGCCATCCCTTATTCCTGCCCACCTGCTGGGCTGGCAGGAATTCCACTGCAGTCTGTGTGCTCCAATGGAGCCTGGGTGCCCTGCCCTGCCCCACTCAAAATTTTGTTTCTGTTTAAAATTTTTTTTTTTGTCTTTTTTATTATTATTCTTTCTTCTTCCTTTTCCAGGTTCTACTTTTTGGCTTTTTCTTTCCTCCCTTTTCCTGGTTACCCTTGTTTTCTTTCTTGTAATTCTCCCCATTCCCTGTTTTTCTTTCTTCATTTTTCCCAATTTTTTTCTTCATTATTCTCCTACTCTACCTATTTTCTCTCATTCCCTCTTCCCCAGATATTGCGGGGTTTTTTTAATTCCCTTTTTTTATTCATATTTCTTTTGGCTTTTTAAAGTATTTCTTTAAATATTTTCTCTCATTTATTGCCTTTACTCTTTTCATTTTCTTTTTTTCTCATTTTGGTGATTGTTCCTGTGTGTTTACGTGATGTGTGTTTTTTGTCCTCTTGCTTTTCTTTTTTTCATGGTTTTTAGTTTTTTTTTTTTTTTTGGTCTAAACAGCAACTGTGCCCATATGACCCAATCACACCTGCACTTCCTGTAGCTCCACTTCCTGAGTGAGGGCCACCACTTCCTTCTGCACCAACTAGTTGATGATACACGACCACCAATAAGAGCCTAACTGACCCTTAACTGCTCTTCACA